GAGATATTGGACAGGAGGGTTCAGATATTGTGCAATAAAGAGATTCCCTCGATTTGGGTTTTATGACAGTATCATTTGAGAGAAGAATCAACATGGGAGTGAGAAGATGAGATTCGGGATAAAAAGCCCCATTTGTTTAAATAGCTAAGTTAACGATTTTGAGGACAAAATCTTTCTTAAGGGGGATATGATGTAAGGACCAAGGTTTTCCCGACCATGGAAACACACACGGTGGTAGGAGCGTGAAAGAGGGGGGTAACGTTGTCTGTGAAGTGAAGCGCTTGAAGAGAGAGAAAGAGCAATGCCACATGTGAAGAGAGAGAAAGAGCGATGACATGCATGAAGAGAGAGAAAGAGTAATGACACGTGTGAAGAGAGAGAAAGAGCAGCATCGCATGTGAAGAGAGAGAAAGAGCAGTGTCATGTGTGAAGAGAGAGAAAGAGCAACACCACATAGGAAGAGAGAGAAAGAGCAACACCACACATGAAGAGAAAGAAAGAGCAGTGCCTTGCATTAAGAGAGAGAAAGAGCAATGATGTGCATGAAAAGAGTGAAAGAGCAGCATCGTACGTGAAGAGAGAGAAAGAGCAGCACCATGCGTGAAGAGAGAGAGAGAGGCAATGTCGCAGGTGTAAGGAGAAGAAGAATGAAATTTGACAAACGACAGTATGATGGAGTGGACTAATGTCGTACGTGACACTGTCGTGCATGAACAGTGACTGCCACCTGCTGAGTGCATGTAGCCACACAATGCCACTTGTTCAGTTGGTGTATGTCACCTGTCAACACTTGGGCTGCCACCTCCCATCAAGGAGTACTTAAGCCTCTCCCTCTCCCTCATGCCATTCGCTTCACTCTCTCTCTCTCTAGAGCCTTTCAACTTGGAGCCCCTTTTGTTAGCTATTGTTCACCATTGAAGAGCCTTGTTAGAAGCTTAAAGGAGGAGATTGTTGGTGAAGATTTGGAAATACAGTGCACCTAAGGTAAGTGGATCATCTACCTTGTAGGTCTTTAAGCATCGATTGGACATAAATCAAGCATGATAATTTGCATAAGTGGTGGCACGATTAATGGATGCATATGCACACTATTGTACTGTAAAATCCATCAATTTAACTTGCCTTTGCATGACCAAAATAAGCATCAAATCTTCCTTGTTTTTCATAGAAAGTCTGTGATTATGTGTTTTTGTGTATCTAATGGAAAATGAGAAAGTTCTATGTTAAGAATTAACATAATTAGAAGCTAATTGATTGTCATGTTGAGTGATGATGTGACCGTGTTGTAATTTCCAAGAAGGTTCTATGTTTTTGTAATCTACTTTTGATCTATCAAATGAGAACCCATTGACTTCAAACCTCTACCATTGGAAAGATATATGTGTCAACTAAAATGTTCATGCTTGAATCTTGCTCAAATTCTTTATGCATTAAGAGTTATGCTTCAAAATGTGCAAGTAGGTCACTGCTGATAAATTTAGTAAAAGTGCAAAACTGATATCTCTGTTGTCACGAATTTTGATTAATCAAATAGAGTCCGTTTTCTTCTAAACCACTTCCATTTTAAATATTTATGAGTATGCTTGAAATTACATATTGAATACATTTCGAATTTCTTCCTAAATTGAGAGTTATATAATTATATAAGGAGATATTTCACTATGGACATATTTCACAAAATCCAGAACCATTACTTGGGTTGTCACGAACTTTTGAATGACTAAATGGAGTCCAAATGTTATCAAACTGCCCTTGTTTGAAATATACATGTTTTTACTCGAATTTTAGTTTTGGAAGAACTTTAAAATGTTTTATGGATTGAAAGTTATAATAGTACTAAGTGGGACATGTCACTGTCCCATCTGCACAACAGGTTTCAAATAGAATGCCTCCTTTCTAATGAGCTTTTGAAGGGCCAAACGGGGTCCAAACGCTTTCAAACCACCCCCATTTGAAAGATACATGTGTGTAGTGAAAAATTGGATTTGGAACCATTTCCAAATTCCAAATGGATCAAGCATTATGGCCTTATATATGGCGAGACACCACTGTTAGAAATTGAAGAAAAATATGACACTGTGATATTGAAAATATGATGCTGCAATACTGAAGATATGATACTGTGATACGGTGGTACTGATTAATATATGTGATTATGTTATAAAGGAATGTTATATGTGTCATGACTGCTATACAATGCGTCCTCCATTGGTAGTGGCTACTCTGATTCTATTATATTAAGACTGTTATGTGTGTAATGGTCGCTACACAATGGGTCCTCCATTCGTAGAGGCTGCTCTGATTCTATTATATTAAACTGTTATATCTGCCCTGACCGCTACGCAATGGGTCTTCCATTGGTAGTTGGATTTGTGATTCTGCTTTACTGAAGACTGATATTTGTGATATGACCACTACGCAATAGGTCCTCCATTGGTAGTTGGGTATACTGTACCTCGACTCCTATGATATGAGTGGAGTCGAGAGGTAACTATAAATAACAAGGTGGGTCACGCCCCCCAAATTATCATGGGCACTATACATTGGGTTCTCTAATGATAGTATAACGCCCTCGCGTTGGAAGGCGTATGAAGATGGTCGTGTCTTTCAAGGCCACAACCTATCGAAAACCTCAAAGCATGCTGAGGATTGTGTGCGTGACTGAGGACATTATGAAATGAGACTTCCATTTGTCATTGTTCTCCCTCCTGAATGAGGGTAGAAGTCCCAAGTTATAGGAGTGGCTTAGCCTGATCGATGTGGCTTCTACGTCGAGAGTAAATAATTCTGTTTTCTACCAGTCTGAATTAGGTACTCTGTATGAGTGTCTGACTGGAACTATGATAAGTATCGATGTAATTGCTATCTCAGGAAATATTCGATGCTCTGATATTTGCACATTGCTCTTTTTATGTTGTTAGTGTTTACACGACTCCACTCTGTGATATCAGCACGATCTCTGATGAATCGTAGGTCATGATTATTATGTATATGCATGTAGGCATGAATACAAGGGTAGTGATATACTTACTGGGCTTGTAGCTCATTCCATTTACTTTCATCTGTGTAGAGTGATAGTACCTGACTGTGGGGAGTCGAGCAGCAAAGCGCAGTGGTGTTTGGCACTGAAGCTTCAAATTTGTCAGGCATTCCTTCTGCATAGTAACTGTCTAGTGGCACTGCCATCGTGTTGTTTTGATTGATGTACTGTTAAGTCAGGCTTGTAAGCCTTGAACAATATTGTAAAGAATCTTGGAGTTTGAATGAACACTTAATGGTTTTAATTTGTTCAGCTTTTGGTGCATGATGTATAAATTCTATTTAATTTTCGTGGTTTGCTTTGATTCCTCACTTCTTACACTTGTTGAATCACTCCCACCTGAGTGACGTTAGTGACCTCCGGTTGCGATCCCACACTCTATCGCCCTCTTGTAAGGTACGGTAGGGGTCAGAGGGCGGGGGAGTGATATTGTATATCTCCACTTCGCCCACTCAGCTCTAATTCCGTGTGAGACATCTTCCTCAATTTCTCCATTTTCTAGATTATCGACCCAAGATCAAAAGTGCGGTCTTTTTTGTACTTCATGACCGTCAATCTTAACTACTTCCTCATTTCTACTCCTATTATTATTAAGGAAAAATTACAAAAAACCCCAAGACTACACTTACTATGCAACTTACCCCCAACCCAACTTATTCTCACTTTTTTTTTTTTTTCCAAAAGTATGCTTTCTATGCAGATACCCCCCAACCAAAAAAGTTTATTGTTTTAACGGAAATGCCCTTCCCATACAAAAATAATCAATTTCGCCACTTACAACGCCTTCACATGTGGTACTGCTGGAGCGTGCATTGAGATTGCTAGAGTGGTAGTACTTCGAGAACATGTACTACCGGACCCCGCTTTGAAACTGTTGGAGAGCTGTGACTAACAAAACCGTATCTGCCGGAGTGCTCTTTGCAACTGCCAGAGCGACCACTGTCAGATCGTGCTTTCAAACTGCTGAAGCAATGTGGTACTGCCAGAGCATGCATTAAAACTGTCGGAGCGGCAGTACTTCCAAAACCTATACTGTCAGACCGCGCTTTGAAACTGCCGGAGCGGCATGACTAATAGAACCTTTTCTGCCGAAGTGCTCTTTGTAACTGCTAGAGCGACCACTGCCGGACCGTGCTTTTAAACCACTGGAGCGATGTGGTACTGCCAGAGCACGCATTGAAACTGTCGGAGCAACAATACTTCCAGAACATGTATTGCCGGACTGTGCTTTGAAACTGCCGGAGCAGTATGACTAACATAAGCTTTTCCACCAGAGTGCTCTTTGTAACTGCCGGACTGTGCCTTCAAACTGCCGGAGCAATGTGGTACTACTGAAGCGTGTATTGAAACTACCGGAGCGACAATACTTCCAGAACATGTACTGCCGGACTGTGCTTTGGAACCATCAGATCGCGCTTCAAAGTACTGCCGCTCCAACAGTATCACACGTGAAGGCCTTGTAAGTGGTGAAATTGATTATTTTTGTACGGGAAAGGCATTTCCGTAAAAAAAAAGGAACTTTTTTGGTTGGGGAGTATTTGCATGGAAAGTATAATTTGAGAAAAAAGTGAGAGAATAAGTTTGGTTGGGGGTAAGTTACATAATAAGTATAGTTTGTTTTTATAATTTTCTATATTATTAAACTTTCATTCTAAATATTCTGTCTTAGTCCGACTAATTTTAAAATATTTGGATTCTAAAGCATCCCTTCAAAGTTCTAACTTTATAGTTGTAAAAAGAATTGTAACACATTATCTAAATTTAAATAAATACTCATGGATGTGCAAAATTTGTACTATTTTTTGAAATTCAAAATTATTAGTCAGTGGTAGAAATGGATTTTAGAGCCATCATCAAAATCTTGGCTTTCGAGACAAGGATTTAAAGACGATACTTTATTCATAGCCTAGGCCTTATAAAAACTTTTTTAATAAAACTGAGACTATTTATCTTTGCGTTGTGTCATGAAGTTCAAGAAAGTTTTTGAACTTCGACTATAGTCGAATGCACTCTCATAGAGTTTTTGAGAAATGGTAAAGATGAGCACCGCTAATTTGACAGAGAGAGAAGGGACAGATATGTGCAGCATTCGAACCTCGCCAAAAATTAGGAAGCAAAGAGAGATGCCTGCATGAGCAAAGAAATTAGAGAGAGAGAGAGGAACTGAGGACATACGGAGAGAGAGGAACTGAGGACATACAGAGAGAGAGATGCAGGTGAGTGGATAGGCTGCGAGAAAACTAGCATGAGATCACTCCACTGGTCTTCGGCCTTGCAGGAGCAGACTTCACCATGGCTTCATCGCCCTGTCGCCCCTCTGTAATGAGAAAAAACAACGCTTTGACTCTCTCTCTCCATCTAAATCCTTCTCGTTTCTGAGTTTTTTTTTTCTTTTAAATTCATGAGTTTTGACATTTTTACTGATTGCAAATCCTTTCCTTTTATTTCAAAGCATGGAGGAGGAAGAAGAGGCGGATGGAGAGGTCAGGGCAGGTGGTTTTGCAATAGCCCAAAAGATAACTCCATTGTTAGTGGAGATTCACATTTTAGGGCAGTGAGACTTACAAATTACGGATTCAGGCATGGTGAAAGGGGAGGAGGAGGATACCGAAATGGATACTATTCTGGTGACCCAAGGCCCAATTTTCGGCCAATTTTCCGGCCAAGAGGCCCTTCTCCTCAGTCTGATAATTATAGGCATTGGGAGCATGCGTTATCTCAGCCCCCTTCTCACTGTGGTATATTCAAATCCTAATCCTTTGTGTTATCATTTTGTCAGCTGTTTGCTTGTTTCTCATTTGGGTGGTTTCTATCGACTTTATTCTTCTTATTTATTGGTAAACATTGGTCTCGTTTTCACTTTGTCTTCTTCATAATTGATGCTTTCTCTTCTGTTTGTGATATTATTGCTTGAACCATCATTACAGTTAGTGTCCTTGTTATTATTATTGATGTTGGCAGGCAAGATGATTATAACAAAATAACTATTGGACATTGTTGACTGTTAATCTGTTATATATCATGACTATCAATTCGATTAACTTGCTTAGAAATGAAGAGTCCTTTTTTTTTGTTTTGAAATTTTTGTGTTGCTTGAGAAAGAATGTGTTCTCATTCATAGTGACAACTATTGAATTGGCTATCATTCCTTTAAGGCCTTGATCACCTTCGATCAAATATTGGTGCTGGTATGTTTGGAAGATGGGGCACATTGAAGAAAGTTCTACATGGGATTTGTATACTTCACGTCCTCCCCACATTAGAGAATGTTTCAAGTCCACTTAGGGCATTAGGTTTTATTTGTTTTCGTTATTTATATCTTTGTTGGCCAGATCGAGTTTTGATTAACACTCAAAGCTTTTGTCAACTTTGTGTTCCATTTGACGACTATGTGAAGCCAAACTTTTTTATGAGGTTTAGAGATTTACATTTTGTGCTTTTCTTTTCCAAGCAATATTTCTTTTATACAAAACTGGAGAACGTTTGTAGACAAGTTTATGGTACAAATATGCATAGATCCAAGTCACTGGGTAATGTGGTGGGGGCATGGGCACCGTTCCCCATGTACTCCTAGCCCTAGAAACATCCCATACATTCATCATCATTTTAGCCTTTTTCCAATTAATTGGGGTCAGTTACATGAATCCTAGTTCTCCATTCTGCTGTATTAAATGCTATATCTTCAGTGAGGTCATAAGTCCCCATATCTTTTCAGACTACTTTCAACCACGTTCTTTTGAGCGTACCACTTGCCTTTTTTAGTCCTTCCACTTGAACTAATTCGCACCTCTTAACAGGTGCTATACTTGGTCAGAGCCACACATGGCCAGCCCACTTAAGTTTACTCTCTCTCTCATTTTATCGCCTATTGGTGCTACGCCTAAATTCTCTCGAATAGATTCATTGCAAATTCTATCTCTTCTTTTCTTGCCACTCATCCATCTCAACATCCTCATCTCCGTTACACTCATTCTATGAGTATATTGTTTTTTGTCCGCCCAACATTCTGCCCTATAGAGCAAAGCTGGTCTCACTGTTGTCCTGTAGAACTTGCCCTTCAACCTCATTAGTATGCGGTGATCACATAAAATTCCAGTTGCACATCTCCACTTCGCCCACTCAGATCTAATTATGTGTGCGACATCTTCTTTGATCTCTCTATTTTTCTAGAGTATAGACCTAAGATATAAAAAATCTTGGCCATCAATCTTAACTACTTCCTCGTCTCTACTCATATTATTACTAAATTTGCACTCCATATAGTCTGTCTTAATCCGATTAATTTTAAAACCTTTGGATTCTAAAGCATCCCTCCAAAGTTCTAATTTTGTGTTGACACCGTTTTGGGTCTCATCAATAAAAACTAGTGTTTTAAAAAACGGCGAGTCGCAACAAATTCGCCTGAGTTGACACAGGAATCGGTCACCCCGTGTAGATTCCACTGAAATATGCAAAGTCGCTCGGTTTTCAGAGAGGAACCGGCGAGTCTCTATAATGAACCACCAAGTTTGCTACAGTGAACCGTCGAGTCTGCACAGGAAATTGATATTATGACATCATCAAACCGAGGGGAGGGCATTTTTTTAATTTTTTTAAAAATTGGGGCAATAATGGCATTATACAAGTATGGCCACGTGCATAGTCATGCTTTTCAAGCACGTGACAAAGATGGTACTGAGGAAGGTTTTATGCACATTAAACTTCTTTCATTTTTTCGATGTGGGATTTGAGCATGGTATACAGTGTAGGCTTGAAAAGGTAATACAATATAGGCTTTTATTATAAAAGATAATACAAAAAGTGGCTCTTTGGTTAGTCCGTTATCACGTTCGTCTTCTAACCTAAAGGTCCCTAGTTCGAACCTTGGCAGCACCATCTTCTTATTCCTTTTGTAAAAAAAAAAGAAAAAAGGTAATACAAGTATTTCTTGTCAAAAAATAAATAAAAGGTAATACAACAAGTCTTCTTATTCTTTTTGTCAAAAAATAAAATAAAAGGTAATACAACAAGTATTTCTTGTCAAAATAAATATTCATAAAAAAAAAGAAGGTAATACAATAAGTATTTCTTGTCAAAAAAATAAATAAAAGGTAATACAAAAGTCTTCTTATTCTTTTTGTCAAAAAATAAAATAAAAAGTAATACAACAAATAATTCTTGTCAAAAAATAAATATTTGTCAAAAAATAAAATAAAATGTAGTACAACAAGTATTTCTTGTCAAAAAATAAATAAAAGGTAATACAACAAGTATCATACTTTTCAAGCACCCATTTGAGCTGGGATTATCGTAAGCTTAAGTTAGATATGTAAAGGTAATACAATATAGGCTTGAAGGATGTTAGCTCATTTTTTCTCTCTCATATATGAATGCCTATTGTTAGTTTTTTTTTTACTTAGGAATGAATAGTCTAATTATGTTTTTTATTTTTATAACATGGTGGTCTTTAACATAAATTCAGGAATATTAATTAAAAGATAGGGTTCTTATAATAAGGCCATTTGAAATCTCTCTCTCTCTCTCTCTCTATTAACAATCTCTTCCATTAAATTTATTCTAGAAACCTAAAAAGTTAGATTTTTGAAAAATTAAAGTGTTATTTCGAAAATTTGTACACACTAATAATTTCTACATTCATAACCAAATCTTGTATTTTATTATTTAATTTATTTGCATTATAAATTATGTAATGTACTATTTTTTCTTACAGTTGTCAACAATATATTTTAAATTAGATGATATTATAAAATATTTTGGATTTGTTATTATTTATATAGTAAAATAATTATAAAATGTAAACCAACAATTTCAATTTCAGTATATAATATTATAGTTAGTTAGGCTGTAATAATTTGGATTTTTTTTTAGTGGATTAGGGTTTTCCTCCAATTCGAGATTTTGATGGCCATTTTTTCATCAATTTAATCCATTTTTTATTGTAGTCCATGTGTGATTCTATACTTCATCCATGATTATTCTATGATTTTTCTTTTGTGTGATGTAAATTTAATGGTTAACATAAGTTCATACAGGGAAAGAACATCTCAATATTCGCATATTGATGAAAAAATGAAAGTTAATAATGTAGTATCCCATTTCTTATTGGATTCCTAAAAAACAACATTTATAATAATTTTTTTGGATTTTTTTATTGTCGAATCCGACCGATTCCCAATCCGAACCGTCGATTCACTAATCCGGATGGGTTTTTGGGGTGCCCGCTACAGGGCACCGATCCGTTTTTTAAACCACTGATCAAAACTATGTCATCTGCGAACAACATGCACCACGGAACGTCATCCTGTAGGTGCCTAATTAAGTCGTCCATAACTAAGACAAAGAGGTATGGGCTCAATGCTAACCCTTGATGTAGACCTATTGTCACTGAAAACTCACTCGTCTCTCCACTAGTTGTTCATACACTAGTAACCATCAGATATATAAATCACAGGTGATGTGGGGTAATCTGCATAAAGACTATCTCCTAGTAATTGGGTGATGTGTGGTAATCTACTTAAAGACTATCTCTTAGGTAGTGGATGTATTCGCTTATCCATGTGATGATATTTATAGATGTTGGATTCAATTGTGAATCCTGAAAGCAGTAGAAACACAAAAACAACGGATCATATAGATGTCACAAACGTTTTTTGGATCCGATTTCGTTCTTGCAGTTCATGCGATCCTTCCGTTGCTTTTTGAGTGTGGTTCCTTCGTTTCGAGAAACACCTCAAGCCGAATTTTGATCACTTGAAATAAAGCATGATATGCATAGTTCAAATCCCTGAGCCCTTCGAGGGAGATAGCTTTAGAATACTCACAAGGATGTAGGGAATGGTTCCTTTCTTAGAGAGAAGCTTAGGTTGGGTATGAGAGAAAAGCAAAAGAGGACACTGATAAAGAGGCACGTGACGCTTTTTGTAAAAGTGATGTGTTAAAAAGTCTCTCTATAAACCTCGTTTATATATAAATTGGCCCCCTTCCATGATCCTTATCTTGGACGAATTCCTCTCTTGGAAGGATTCCTATCTCCAAGGAATTTCTAAGCATTTTTCGCTATCCAAAATATGTATCCTAAACCCATTAGGATTCCCATCTCTTCTCTATGCCATAATCAAAGTCCCAAATCCAAAGTTGATCCTCATACCTCATAAAGGGCAGACCTTTTCAGAAATTCCAACATCTCCTTCTCGTCCTATAGTGGGTTGAAATATGTCGGTCTGTGAGAAACTCTTCCGAACACTACATGGGGAAATGAACTGTGAGACTTTTAAGTAGCGACTGCATCTGTATAGAGAGAACCACAATAAGTTTTTTCTCAAAAGCTAAAGTGGAACACCTCTCTAATTTGTTTTAAAATTTACTTTAGCTTGTCCTAGACTAACTTGGCCATAATGGATTGAGTATCTCGACTAATCCCTCATGAGTTCTATGCTCAGGAGACTATTCAACCCCTTTGTGTACTCCCACTCAGCTCATCTAATAAAACATTGTTCTTATATGAGCTAAGAAATTCATTTGAAAAATAGTTTATTGTATTATAATAGTTTTTCAAAAATAGTTTGAAAAAGAACATCTAGGATAAAAACTTTTTGGGACTGTACAGTCGGTGAGCATCATAGATACACTGATCTTGCTAGATACCAATCAAAGTGTGATGCCAATAGTCTTCTTTTACCTAGTATAATTCTGTTTTGATTTAAATGCTTTCCTAGCTTTGCTTACAATTCGGTCGAAT